ATGAAGGGAAAAAACAAAGTTGTGCCAACATTTTCTGAAACGTTCCCTCAGGTTTCAGTGCAAATGGCATCTTATATAATTTCCATCATGTAAGTGATGGAAAGTCTCCAGAAGTATGTGTTCTTTACAAGGCTTTGATGAAATGTTACAAGATTGGAGACCTCTTGTGTTATATTTATGTTGTACTTCCCTGCTACTGCTGGCTTGGGGTGAGCTCTGGAATCAGAATCATTGCCTGACATTTCTAGGTGTTTGCATGTCAAATTCAAGCTGCAACCTTCTCTTAACTCGTGGTTAAGGCTCAAGGCATTTTGTTTGGCTTTGCTTAGCTGAAGGCAATACTCATTTTATTGTCATTTACAGAGAGGAAGATGTAATTTTTTGTTTTTTTAATTTGGACATTGTAGCTTCCCTCAGTTTTAAAAACACATTATATAAGCTTCTTTTCATTGTGGTGAAAACCATCATTCTTCCACCCTTTTTCTCCATTAATAGATGGTGGACATAGTGCATTTTACCTCGTATGGACTAACTGCTGCATGTGTCTGTGATAACATCTGTAATTTTATCTCCTGGAAGATTTATCTTTTCCCACCCTTCTTATCCTCCAACAAATTATTGGTGCATGCTATCCATGTGACAGGATAATTGCACAGTTTAGCTGTGGCTATATATTTGAATAAAGATGATATTCATCTCTGCTAAATATTACCCTTCAGTAACTGTGGGAATCTGCAGGTTCAAGGGAAAAGCTCAGCTCTGGAAGTGAGCAGTTTGTGCTACGTGCACCTGCAGAAAAAAGTGCCCTATGATGCCACCATTTCATGTTTTGTATTGATTCTGGTGATGCTTTCAGTGCAAAAAGGATTTGCTTTATATTTTGCCTAATAAAATATCACTTGATGTAATTATATATGTTAAAAAAAATGAAGTTAGGACTGGGAATCAATGTCCTTCCCAGAATCCGAGTTGGAAAGCGATTACTCTTAATCAGAGGTGGTGGGAAAACAAAAAGGCAGATGGAGGGCTGAGCTTCTCAGAGAACTTGTTTACATTTCAGTTGCCATCGCTGATATGAGCAGCTCCAGAACTGATGATGCTGTTTGTTACTCTGGAAAGGAGACATCTGAACTGGCCAACACAAGCTTTTAACAAACAGAAGGGTATATAAAAATAATATTCAAAACAAAACAAAAACAAACAAACAAACAAAAACCGTCGCTGGGGATAGTTTCTAGAGCTGCTTTGGATTTCATCATCTCTATTTCCTCCTCTGGTTCAAATGTTTTTAACTGGAGAAAAAAAAAAAAAATGTTTGGCTTCTTCATCTTGAGCTCCTGCCTTTCTGCAGCTAAAAAAAGAAAAAAACTCTTAAATACATCCAAGTGTTTTAGCTAAAAGTAATGCCTTTCAGTGCTCTCTGAACCCTGAGCAGAGCACCAGATCAGGGCTGCAATGCCACCTTGGCACAAGCTGTCCCTCCAGCCTCTTCATCCACATGGGAATACCCAAAACCTGCAGAGAGGAAGGCTGAGTCAGCATAATTTACGAATCCAAGTGTATATTATTTCAATACAGTTTTCCTGGTATCCATTATAGTTACAGATGTTACAAGCTTCCATTATTAATGTTTTTAATGTGCTCGTAACTTTCCCAAACCCAGATCACTTCTGTTCAAAAGTAATTTTGCTGTCCTTTACAGGGTGTTTCAAGGGAAGGTTTTGACAAAACCTTCTTACCTGTTGTTTAGGTTAAAAGATGGAAAAGCGTGCCATTGCCTGTCAATAAAACTCTAATTATACCCTTTTGAGCAAAACACACAGAAAAAAACAACCCACCCAACAGTAACACCCCACCTCAGCATGGACCCCATCCTTATGAGGCCTAAAGTTTATGCCTGGCTTTGTAGGTAAAGCTTTTATTGAAACAATTTAATTGTTTTAGTCAATCAAATTTAATCAGTTATTATTTTTGTTATTCCTTTCCAAGAAAGCATATCCTAGTGTGTGTGTGTGCCACTGCCCTCTGGTGCACAGCGGCAGGAGAGCTTGGCTGCTCTGGGGACTGAGGTGTGGGCACCCACCCACCCACTTTCCTACTCAGTGCAAGTGCTCAGGCTCCTCCTGACTTAAATCTTCACCCCCCTTGGGAGTCAGGAAACATAATTCCTGTAAAAGATCTGCCCCTTTCTGTCTTGTGTCAGTAGAAAGTGCCACGTAGAAAGAGTGTGCTGGTGCGGTGCTCACCCCCTCGTGTTGTTGTGTCACGAGTTGCACATCCCCAAAATACCTGGGAGATTCACTGCAAGTGGTGGTGTGATCCTAATGAGTGTTACTAAAGCATCTCTGCCCTTTTGTTCTCTCCAGCACCCTCAAGGCCGAAAGGGTTTTGCCTAATCCAGTGTTTTTGGGATAAAATAAAAGGTTTGGCGGGGTAAATGCGCAGGGCTAAATACAGGGAGAAATGAAACCTAGTCAGTAAGAGCTGTAACTATCCGCTGTGGGCATCAGTGATAGGAAACCTGCGAAGATCAGCTAAAATCTCCAAAGATGTTTAGGATCAGCTGTGCTGCCCCAGCCCCCTGTAAGGAGGACAGCTCTGCTTGCTGTACCAAGCAGGGTGTTCACCTCATCTGGAGCTGCTCCCTGTCACCTAGAGCTCCTGTGCTCTTTATGGATTTATTGAGGCAATTAAGATAACACAGCCACGGATCTCAGTCTATGAATTTGCACCTTTTCGTGCTATTTTTCCATTAAAGCCAGATTTCAGGTGTTTCTGTCTCTCAGTGTAATAGTAGTGACCATCAAATCTGAACAGTCACTTCTTTTTCAGGATTTGCTCCCAGTGAGACTGGTGTGAATTTTGCCGTTTGGAACATGCCAGTATCAAGTGCTTTTGAACTGTAGTTGGGTGACCTTAGCTTTGTATTTCACAAATAAATAACTTTTCTCCCTAAAAAGGAGACCTATTCAATTGTACATCAAGTTCCAAGAGTTAGTCTCATGGTTCTGAACACTTGAATTTGATAACACAGTGAAAAACTGTAGACCTGATTTCTGCTGAAGGAGGGTAATTAGGAGGAAATTACTGCCTGGGTTTATTTCCATCTCTGACTTCTTCAAGCTTATCTATTTAAGTCTGTTTAAACAGTGCATGAAACACCTCATATGGATAAGCCTAATAAAAAAAAACCTCTCAAGTGTATATATGAAGTTTCACATACTTTATAAAGAGGTGATTTATTGGTAGGGGATAATTTTAAGCTTTTTTCTTAACTTGTACACAGGGGAGGTAGGCTAAACCCCATGCCTACCTTAAGTTGTGATTCTTTTCTGGTTATCAAAAAAAAAAAATTGTAGGGGCCAACAAAGATTTCTCTAATATCAAGTCTGTGCCATTTGCAAGTAGAATGTCATCCCCATTTTAGTCACTCAGTTGGGGCCCTGAATGTCAAGCTGAGGGCTTTTTTTTTTTTTTTTTTTTTACCATAATAAAGGTCTTGTAGGCTAAACTCCAATCCCTTTGATAGGTTTACACAAATGCCAAGATTGGTACTTTGCAGTGCTGTTGATGATACTCAATAAAGGTAGTTCTTCAGTCGTGCTCACCCTGCACTGTCTCCTGAGTGTTTGCATGTGTGAGTGCATTTAGATGGGTCTGTGCATGAATACACGCAGATAAATGAAATGTGAGGATATATTTAGTACAGACATCTGAGTTTCACACATATTCGTGCATGTATCCAGTATTAATCTGGGGCTTGACATAGAAAGAGCCAGAAAAAGCTCCTGAAGGCTTATTTAAAAAACCATTCCTGGGGCTCTGGTATCTCACCCTGTCAGATGCACTAATTTTCCCAAAGAATAATTACAAAATGAAAAACTATGCTAATTCTGAAATACAATCCCTGCTTGTTTAGCTTTTATTTACTTCACTTTGCAATAATACACTGTAACCACTCCACTTCTTAAAGACTTTGTCTCTGAACTGTGGCACCCAAGTAGGTGGCCTAGCTAATACTTCCATTTCCCCAGCCATTTACACTGGGCCAGACTGCGCTTTCAGGAGACTCAAGAGATTTGCTGGATAGCTTTCCTAGGGTTATCATCACATGTCAAAGATGATGTCCATATAGAACATTGATTTCCTAACAATGCAGCATCCTTGGAAAGAAAATCTTCTCTTTAGTTCACTCACTTTGTGTGAATAAAGACCATGGGGAAGGAATCAGTACTTCAAGAAAATACTTCTACTTACAATTACCACATTCCTGCTTCCTCTCTACCCTTCCAAAATCCACCATAAATAAGAGGTTGTGGTAATTAATTGCCGGCCAGGTGGCTCAATTAATGCTCTGCAAGTGCAGTGTCCTGTGGGTGAAGTGATACAGCTGAGGCATATTCTGTCCAGTTCTGTGTTTGAACACCAGCAGAGACAGCCACGTGCACAGACACACACACGGGTGCTAAGAGAGTCTGTTGTGTTCTATTTTGGGGTGGTTTTTTTCTAAGATGTGACACTTCAATTTTTCTTTCCTTCCTAGAGAGTTCAAAGTGCTTTTTTTTTTTTTTTTTTTTTTTTTAAAGAGCTTAATTTCTGTGCAGCAGAGCTCATGGGCAAAACACTAAATGCAAAATAAGGAATGCAGTCACGGTCCTGAATACGTTTTAACATTCTTCAGACCGGTGCCAGTTGTACACACTGACAGTAATCCTGTCTAATCCCCTCCACACGCATTGTCGTTGTACACCTGCTTTCATTGTCCCCCTTATATCAGTTCTTAATGCTTAGAACCACAACACACGAGGAGGCAAAGCAGCAGAACAAAGCACACGTGCACACACAGAGCGTGCTGTGCTACAGCTTTGCACTGTAAACATAAAACACAGTTGTAGATTTTTAGTGCTCAGAGTCAACATCTTCCATTAAGACGTTTTTCCTGCTTCCCCCCCCACCCCCCAGACCAACTGATGCATGTCTGTGTTTGTCTTTCCTGGCAGATTAACTGAAGCACATCGAACAGCTGTGAAAGTCATCAGGAGAATGCAGTATTTTGTAGCCAGAAGAAAATTTCAGGTAAGCAGCACAACTGATCATGAGTACAATTGCTGTAAGCTCGAGTACTTGGCACTGAAAGTGCTCTCAGAGTGGGCTTGTCTTCGTGCATGCAGTGCTAATAAGTCGAAGGTATTCTTTAAGTTCTTGGCCTCATCTTATGTGGATTTTTTTGTGCTGTGGGCAAAATTGCCGCCTGTCCATGGGTACAGCATGATACAAAAACCTGCATTTGTGCAGTCAGCAGGGTTATTTTTCACTTCTTCTTTTTTCTTGCTGCATTTGTTTTTTTTTTGGGGGGGTTCTATTCGTTTTACTACACCGAGCAAGAGTTACCCTTCTGCTAGAAGAAGTGAAGAAAACACTCTGCTGGAGTATCTGCAAGAGCACTGTCACTGTCCACTGTCCACACTGTCCACTCTGACACAACTGGTCAGAGGATGCTCAGCTGTGTGCTGTGGGTGGCTGTCACACTTGTGGCCCACGTTTCCAAATTTATTTCCCAGAAAGCGACATCTTAGGCCACATTTTGTAAAACTGTGGAGCATTGACCCTCTGGAAATTTGCTGTCTTTATGGAGGATTGAGTTCATTTTCTCATTCAGGTTAGAAAGTGCTCAGAATAAATATAAATGTACTGCATTGGAAATATCATCATATTTTGCCTGTTTACTGAGGCTCCTTACGATAAAACGTTTTTGGAATGGGATTCTGATATCATCATTCTCATCACCCACGTGCTGGAAATGCCATGGAAATGAAAAATTAACTTCTGGGCTGATTTTCAAAGCCCCTGTTATTTCCATTTAAGATTCTTGCTTTTTTTTTTTTTTGTCTGAGAGGATCCACTGCAAGTTAATGAACTTTCATGATCCTTTTGAAGAGGTTTTAAAAACATAAATCAAGAACCTATATTTCAGGGGAGTTTGATTAGAGCTGAGCACTTAATTGCAAGGGATAGAAGTCTGAGATAAGCTCACAGCACTCAGAAGACTCTGAATTATGGCAGACAGAATAGCATATACATTTCCCAAGCTCATGCAGGCATGTATCTTCAGACGACCTTACCTTTTAACTCAGAAAAAAAAACAGGAGAGCAGGATTATACTGTAAATATACCAGAGAGATAAACATTATGGGAAATTAAAATAAATAAATAAATAGATAAATAAATTTTATAAATAAAGATAAATAAAGACACCATTTAGCAAAACTCAAATCAGTTTATAAATGAGTTATGTTAAAAATTAGTATTTTTCAAACCACCAGAGACCTGATGTTCTGGAGCTGTCAGCCAATTTTACAAACTTTACAAAGCTGCCAAACTTTACAAACTGAACTTGATCAGTCTGTGGAGAGAATTCTGGGAGCTGGTGCTAGTGACAGAGAAAAAGAAGACGAAGGAATGATCTTCTGTGTCTTTCTTGGGGCCGTGAAATACAGTTTTTAGGGCTCCCTATGCTAATTAGATTTTGGAAGTTCAAAGCTGGGTAATATTATTTAAGAGTTTTGCATTAGGAGCTCTGAGCACACTGAATGTGGACTACTGAACTCAAACGGCCAGGATTTGGGATTCTGGGCAGAATGGAAGTTAAGGGAGTTGTTAAATTCTGCATTTACCACACTTCCCTGGAAATCCATTACCTCCTGGCTTAGGTGGTACTGTACTGGCATCTGCTAATAAAATCATAACAAGAGACTGGGCCAAAGTTTGGCAGGACGTTGGATGCTCAGATTTAAGCTTTATGGGAAAAGAGGAGATAAAAATGGTGAAAGCTGGAAGGGTGTTTTTCCTAAGCTTTAGAGAGCACTCAGGCAGATGGCAGTGTACAGTACTTTATACAGTTCAGAGCTGATGATTTGGTAAACGGGATAACAGAGAGAGGACTTCTTTTGGGGCAGAAATTTCATTGCCAATGAGTAGAATTAATTATGCACATGGGGGAAAGGGGAGGGGAAAAACCCCCAGCACATCCAGGCTCTGTGCCATGCCCGGTGTTTAAATAGAGAGTGCCCAAAGGAGAGGATGGAGAATTTCACCAAAACGCTCTCAAAGCACCTCCACTGGTCAATCCAAAGAGTGATACTGGCACTGTTTGTCGGGGTGAAGACAATTGGCTGCTTTTCTGGCCAGAAATAGTGATGTGTCAGCGTCTGCAAAATGTGAAGCTGGGGAAGCAAAAAAAAAACACACAAAAAAAATATTAAAAAAATAGGTGATAAACTGAAAGCTGAAACCTCCCTCCCCACCGAGTATCTCCTCTCACAAATGCACACCAGTGTGCACACGAACCCTTCTGAAAGCAATAATGCAGGTAAGTGCTGAGTGCAGGGAAGGCATTTTGCCACGGAGAGCTTTTCCTCCTTCGTTCATTTCGCGGGGTTTGTTTCCATTCCAGTTCCACGCCTTTCATTTGAAATTTCTAGGATCTTGTGGCTGCCTTCCAAGCATGACTCCAGCACATACTGTAGGTGTTCAGTGCATGTGTGCAGCGGTGCATGCTAATGGCTCTGGCTGAAGCTGTGACAGAGTGGAAACAGACAACAAGATGACTAATGTGCTGTTTGCAGTAATTTCCAATTACTAGATTTGCAGTTTACCTTCGCTTTTTTTTTTTTTTCCCCCCCTTCTTTTCTTGAGTCAGAGCCAAAAGGAAAATACCTTGCCCCACATTTCCCATAGGGGTTGGGACGGCTCTCAAAATGCTGACGTTTTCAAAAAGACATCATTTGTGTTTATACCACCACACACACACACATTGATTTTACTTGCTATAATTTTAGCATGCTGCACTTTTTATAATCACATCACTTTGTGCAAGTTCTCTAGACTTGCTTCGAAATTCTGCCATAGCAGTAACAGCGAGAAACCAAAGCTTGGCAGAAGCATCTGGATTCTCATTAGAATGGGAATAAAGCTGGGCAGATGGCAGTTTTTTTTGCTCTCTTGCATTTTTTTATCTGTCCTTTTTTATTTGAATTGCACTTTTTTTTTTCCTGACCTCGTAGGTATCGTGAAAGACAAAGAAGCGCAAACAAAATCCACATGCAGCAGCCTTCTGACTTATGTGAAGCATCTGTCCTCCCAGTTCCTTAAACAGCAATATTTCTGTCACCAGACATCTTTAGTCTCTAGAGACATTTGATTCCGGGTCCAAGTGTTATGAATTGGGCCCGTTCCTGTGGTTCAGTCCTCTGACATTATGATTATCATATGGTTTTGGAACGAGCCAAGAGATACGGCACATGATAGCCTTAGATAAATTATATATCTTGGTTTTGTGTTTTTCAAATACACTGTGAAGGTCTAATATTTTGCTCAGTATGAAGTAACATGAAGACATGACTCTAACTGACAGTAATGGGAATCATTTGGCTCCGTCTCCACAGTAAATATGCACTCCTACAACAGATAGATATTTTTTATTCATTGCAAAATGACAAGCAAATAACCTCTGGAACAAATCAAGTTTAAACAATACTCAACTTTCAGTCTCTTGACTCCTTTCCCAGCAAGCTCGGAAGCCGTACGACGTACGGGACGTGATCGAGCAGTACTCGCAGGGACACCTCAACATGATGGTCCGGATAAAAGAACTTCAAAGAAGGTAGGCCCTGTCTACCTCATGAAATATTTGATTTCTCCAGTGCCAGCTGGCTTTAGCAGAGATGTGTACTTAATGAACAGTAATTGTCTGAAATTGCAAGCACAACAGGGAGCACAATATCTGGAGGATTTAGCTCGGAGTCATTTTTAACCCTTTTTATGACCAGGCTTACAATCATCCTTTATTCTCCTCTCCTCTTTTTCTCCAAGTGAAATTACACGAAACGAAGGTGCATGCTGTGAAGGTTATAGTATGAAGCAAGTTTTTCTGTCCTCTTCTTAGAAGAGGAAAACTTTTCAAATAACGATTTCTCTTTCTGTTCCCACTCTCTGGTTCTCTACCGTCGAGAGAAATCTGGTTCACTTGTGTTTCCCTCTCTATCTGGAACCTTTCCCTTCCTACATTCCTCCATGCACATGGAGTTTCAGCTTTGCAGCTGAAATACTCTGCCACAAAACTGTTCTCCTCTGTTTCAGCACAAAGTGCTTTTCTCTTTACAAATTAACGCTGTGGACTGGGACACCAGAATGAACCTCTCTGGCCCTTAAATCAAACGAAAAAGAAAAAAAAAAAAATCCTGCTGAATGGAATCTCCTGTGTCAACATATATAGATATTAAATCCGCCTGTATGAGAGTCAGGGAATAGTTGCAAATGTTATTAAGAAGCTATTCTGTTTGTATAGTCTTTGTTATTAGATTATGTAAGACACAGGAGAACTATGTTTTGGTTACAACTCGAAAGTCCAAGAAATATTAGTACTCAAGAAAATAACAATAATAATATGGTTTGATTTTGGAGGCAAAAACTCTAAAGAACTAAACTGCTGACTGGATATGTAGAAAGTCATGCTGGTCTCATGTTTTTACTTGTTTTGGTTGAGGTTTGAAGCTACTGCAAATTCTCATGGAAATTATGCTCCCATGCTTTCTCTAGCAGCAGAGTTTAGGTTGCTTGGTAATTGCACTGCTGGTAATTCTCTGTTTGCTTTTCAGGTTGGACCAATCCTTGGGAAAGCCAGGTCTTTTCCTCCCAGGTATAGTGGCTGCATTTTATGTAAAATTATTACCTTCATAACTTTGGGAAAATACCCTTGGCTACAGTAATATGGATTTATAATCCAGCCAATTATGCAGTAATATAATTCTGTTAATAAGCTTTGGAATGCCTATGTAAAGATAAATATGTTGCATTTTTTCCTTCCTGAGTGACCAATGGATTTCAGTTCTGGAAAGCTCAAAGGAAGATCATGGGTCTTACTCAGGAAGAACTGGGGTAAATTTGAAAGCTAGAGTGATAGAAGGGGGATGAAATTCACCATAAAAAATGCAAGGTCAGGCACAGGGAAACTAATAAGGAAAATCTCTTTGGTGAACAGTTTGACATGTCTAAGAAAAAGAAGGTTTGCTAATTAATTGTAAGCAAATGCCACTGAATGTGATGGCCCTGCACAGCAGTGATATTCTGGGAAAATCTTGCGGTGGGAATTGTGGAGATCAGAAACCTGAGTGCTTGATGGGGAAAACTGAAAGAAGTGTTTATTTTTTTTTTTCCCCCAAAAGAAGTTGAATTCAAATTTCAGGGGCTCTGTCTCATTCTTTGTCCCTACAAGCTCAAAAGTGACTTAGGAACTGAAGCCACATATCCCCAAGTGACTTTCAGCACCCACAGCCATAAGTTTAATTGAGGGTGGCAAAGTTGTTTCAGAGTCTTTAAAAAATTACATATTATCAGTGGTTAATATTACCAGAACAAGAAATATCTCTCAAAATACCTTTTCAACATCTGAGTGCTGCAGAGGACTCAGTAGTATGATCTTCCTTCCCTGTAGCTGTGCTCCTTTTGGACCACAGGAAAATCATCTCTCAGCTTGAATACTTCTATAAATATTTATCCTTGGGAATTCATTCCACAATGTGCGAGCTAAACTAAGGGGAAAACTCCCCTTACCTCCAAGAATGTATTATTTTATTTCAAATGCAGCATTACCAAATTAGAACTGCAAGTTGTGCTCAAAAAGACTAGTGTTGGAAACACTTTTTATGAAGCAGTGTCTTGGAGAGGAATAGTTAGGAGTGCTGGCTGCAAAGAAACTAATTCTGAGAGGTTTAAGAAACTTTGTTTTTTTTTTTTTAAGAGCAGTTATTTTATCTAGAGCCTCCACAAATCCAAAAATCAGATGAGTGGTTCCAGATAAATGGTCTGCAGAACTAAATCTGGAGTTAGTTTACAATTACTCCCAGTATTATCCAACCTGCTCTCACTGCCAGTACTATCCAAGTGATGAACAGTGATGAGTGGTTACAGTATTTGTCTGCTTTGGGTGAAAACAGACTCTTGAATTGCCCTTCTCCTCTGGAAAAGGAGTTCTTCCTGAGCTTTCCTCGGAATGCAAGGCTTGTTCTGCACTGACAATGCATTTTCAGTGTAGCACTTACACTTTTCCAGGCATTGCTAAAAACCCCATTTGTAACAATATGGGTGTTTCCTCCAGACTGTCTTATTTTTGTATTGATGGCAAATAGAGCAAAAAGAGAAATGACAATGCAAACAAAATTAAACTGCCAAGGAGAAAAAAATGAGAAGAATTTTCCTTTAGAGCTCTTTTTTGTTTTTCCCTCCTGGTTTTATTATACTCCCATTCAAAGAATCTTCAGGGCTGATTCCAAGCCCGTTGAAATGAATGGGAGTCTTCCCAGTGACCTCAGTGGGTTTTGGATCAGGGTGTTATTGAAACCCTGTTGTCAGCTTTGAGAATATAAAGTAATTGCAGTGTATCTGTAGTATTATTACCTTTCAAAAGTGAATGATGTCATAAAAGATCCAGAATCTGAATTCACTGGGAGCAATCATTGTTATTTTTCAAGTCAGTTTCTCAGAGACAAAAAAGCACTAAAAGCTGTGTTAAAACAAGATAAGGACGCAAGGACAGAATAAAAGCCACGCTGGGTCAGACCAGTCCTGACTCTGATGGAGCCAAAAGCAAAGTGCTTTGGGAAATGTGTTAAAAAAGGCTATGCCTAAGCCTCTAAGCTTCCTGTGAGCTTTCAGCCATTTGCAGATCAGAGACTTCCTGACATGGTTTCAGTGCCTTCAGGAGTACAAAATAGTGTGTCCAGACATATTTTGTATAAAGAGTTTTCGTGATTTCAGTTTCACGTACGCAGATGGTGAGAAATTCCACCTTTTTGCTTGTTTTGGTCTTGGTCCCTACTAGTTTTCTTTGAAACTCCTACTATCAGGAGTGGATTTAAAAACCTTAAGATGATGAATGCATTTTCCAAAGACCTGAATCCCATTTTTATTGAAAGCCTGTCCCAGTGTTCCAGGTGACACAATTTTGTAAGATGAAACACGTTCATGTAATAATACAGACCTTAATAACTCCAAAGTGTTGATATAGAGGCAAAGCACATATTAATAAAATTACTGAATTAGCAAAGTAGACACTTATAGAATGATACAAATAAAAAGAGTGTAAAACTTGGCCTCCACTACACATAATGAAGTTAACTGCTTCTGATTGTACTTGTTGAGACTTACCATAGCTTTTCAGGGGCAAAGGTGAAGAATAATGCCAAGGTAAAACAAAAAGGCCAGTGTTTGAGTTCAGAAAAGTACACAAAAAGCTGGTATTTATCTGCAGTTCATCTGAATCTCTTGGGTCTGCATAACACAGGTGGGAATCCCTGGAGGAAAGGGCTTCTTTGTAAAATTCTGACAGTTCCACTGCTTGCTTTTTTTTTCCATTAAATGTCACCTAAGCTTTCTGATAGCTTTTCCTTCCCATCTGTTAAGAAGAAATCGGGTCATAGTATCTTTTAAAACATAATAAATATGCTTGGTTTAATTTATATCTTTTTGAATGGATTAATATTTGAAATAAGAGATACTCTTATTTCTGCCAGAACTGATTTATTCCACTCCTCCAGGAGACAAAATCAGTGGGAACTTGGTCAAAACCAGAAACCACATAGGATATTTTCTGTAGCTGTCAGGTGTTCACAATCTTGTGTCTGAAAGTTCATTTCATTGCTGGAGTTGCTCTACCTCAAAGCAAGGAGCCAGCAGAAATATCACTTATCTCCTGTTTTGAGAGTTTGGAATTTGCAGCTAATTTACTGCCCATTTAGATCCTCTGAACAATCTTGAACTGTATTCTTAATAAAGAAACTTGCATTTAGTTTTTAAATTGGTGTATTATTTGTTTTATACACAGTGTAACGATAGCGTGTGTAAATCCTGCCATCAGCATCTGCTGGAGGAAGGGCAGAAGTGAGATACAGCTCTTTAACAAATGCAGTGAGCAAAGCTTGTCTCCAGTAAATTGATTTTATTGTTCCTAGTGAGTCATTTGAGCAAATTGTGTCATCTCAGAGGCTAGATAATTATTTCTTCTAACCAAAGGAAAAAAAAATATGTTTTATTTAATATTTGGTATTTTCTGATGAGATGGAGGACGCTAATTGTATGAAAAATTAAGAATTTGATGCGATCCCTCATTTTATTTGCTTTCTTCCTCCTCCTTATATCCTTGTATGTTATTTATATCAGATGCTTCCATTTGGGGAAAGAGTCACCACCTGCTGAACTGGCATGGAGCACACCTAAAATTTTTAACTTTTTTTTTTTTTTTTACAAGAGGCTTCTCTTGTTCTTTACTAGGAAAAGAGATGGGCCAGCTTTGTGAAAATATTAGGAAACGAATACAGGATTGTGTTGTTTTGAAAGTAGAATAGCATGTGTAGTCAGGAAGGCGAAGGCTTCCAGGGAAGAAATTTCTTTGTTTATAAAGATGAGAACTGGACTAGATGACCCAACAAGTATTCAATCTCCTGAACTGTAAAACCTAGTGCTTATTTATCAGTGTTTTCTCTGATTCAAAACCAATTGTATAAAATGATGAGCTTGTGTTGGTATCATACCAACCACATTACACAAGCTTGTTTCAAGATATTTCTTTTTTTATTTCTGAGCTAAAACTTGTCCATATGTGTTTTCATCCAGTTATAAATAGTTGGGCTTCCTTCCATTAAGGTCATGCAAATGTACTCTTTGTTTTTGTGCCTTTCCCATACGTGTTACTGGATTGCTCAGCTGATCTGTCTGTTTTCTTGAAGCCCAACAAAAGGAACAGAAAAAAATTAATACTAATAGAAAGTTATTTTTTTTACAAAACAAAGACTGTAGAAATTAGGACATCTCAGATTTGTAGTTAGCCCTGCTATTTTTTTAACTGTGTTAAAGTAAATAATCTAATACAGAAAGTCTAAAATTATGTATCTTGAAAATTATGTGTCTGAAAAGACTCAGGAGAGAAAACATAACCATGAGATAGAAATCAAATGTACTGGAGCAACATTACCTGAACTTGTGCTCACCCTTCTAAAAACAGCATCCAGCACGTTGTGCACAAACCACATTTACTTTAAAGGATGGTCTTTATTAGAAGAAAATGCTTGTAAATTAGAGCTGACTGCTGTTTTATATGGAGGCTAATAAGAAATTGGGAAAGACCACAGCATTTTGTGACTTACACAATCTGCATGCCAGTAAAGGGGTGGACAAGACACAGCTATGTGCATGTGTGTCATTCTTTTCACTTCATCTGCTGGGAGTGCCACAGGCCACAAAATAGCTTCTTACTGCTTATCTGCTTCCTATTTTCTTGTTTTCTGTTCCACACAACATTTGAGAATAACTGAAATAGGAAACATGATTAACTTGGTTTTGCTTGGTTTGTGATGTCTTGGTGGTTATCTGATGGGTGTAATTAGAGCCAGTGAGGAAATTATTATTTTATTTTATTATTATCTTAAAAAAACCCAAACATCATACTTTTTGAAATATTTCTTCATGTTTGGGGGACTTTTAGGGTTTAGACCTGAACAAAAACACTTCCTACCCACTGCTGTTCGAATCACATCCCAATTTAGAAATCCTTGAAGGCATGGGTTTTTTCTGATATATACTTTGGGAGATTTGCCTACATATTTGCTAACTAGAAAGTGGACTTTCTAGTCAATTGTTTCATTTTAGGCAGAGATGAATACAGATAAACTCGAGCCTCAGCCACTTATATTTTAAGAGGTTTCTGAGGTTGTGAATGATGCAGAGCACACATGTGTAAGCCAAGCTGTGTCATTTATTGTCTGTCCCCACACAGAGTCCTTGAAAAATCTCTGAATTTTCTCTCCTTATTGTGTTTGTTCCTACAGGGTAGATTGGATAGATTAGATAGATAGATTAGATAGATAGATAAAATAGATAGGTGGATAGATAGATAGATAGATAGATAGATAGATAGATAGATAGATAGATAGATAGATAGATAGATAGACGGATGATAGAACCCCTGGATAGTGCTGTATTCTACACCTGCAACCTCAGCTGAAAACTATTCTGATTTCTTTAGTTATAGCAAGTGTACATTGCTCATGCCGATGATATCCAAAATAGGAGGTGTGCCCAGTACTAGGCCTATTCCATCTAACTACATGCAATTAGCTGGCATAATTAAACAAGGAAACAAATTACCACAGACAGTATCTCTAATCATTCACGTCCACAGACTACTCTACCAATGTCCAGGTTGCCCTTTAGACTAACCTAATCTTGCCAGTTATGCAAACTGATTCCCTTCTCTCCAATAACTCTCTTTCACTTCCATTCACCACCAAAAATTCTTTCTAGTTGTGTTCATGTTTTTTTATGCTACCCTACTATTACCAGCTTCTTTTTTTTTTGCTTTAAATATCATAAATATAATTCTTAGTCTGAAATTACTCTCCAGTAATGGATGTCCCGTTTTTATTCTTCTTTATTTAGAAAAAGGGGTAGACAAAGGATACTACAGCATAGGAGCCAGACTGATCCGGCTGGAGGATAAGGTAAGTGCATGAAAGCTTGCTTTTTTTTCCCTGAGTCATGATATCTGATCTACAGACCTGCAAGATAGTATCTTGGCATGATTTACTTTGGAATTGCAGGGCACCATAATAAAGAGTAATATAATTTTTGGAAGGGAGTTGATGAAGTGTCACGTGCACGTTGTTCAGCATTAACCATTTACCTGCCATGCAGGTTTGGTTCTTGGGTATAAAAGGAACTGCTTTCATCTTGAAGCCAAATCACCCATTTTGTGTATAAGTATTAGTGAGTTAAACAGAAATATCAGGAGCCTTTGAAAGTAGCAACAGTTGATATCTCAGTTAATGGTCTTGAGATTTTTTAATGTTTGCTGCTTTTTTTTCCCCTGTGCAATTATCTTTGCATCAATTCTGCCCCTGCCCCACTGCCTTCTCTCCAAGAATATGTTCATATTTGTCATTAATTAGAGTTACTCAGAAGTATGCCCAGAGGCCAAAGCTCAGGGAGGCTCTATTGTTTTAGACCTAATACAAACTTCCTCAAGAGCTTTTCCCACTGAAGTAATAACAAAAAAAAAAAAAAAAAAAAAAAAAAAAAAAAAAAAAAAAAAAAAAAAAAAAAAAAAAAAAAAAAAAGAAGTTTGCTTAAAATTAAGGCTCTATTTCTCTAACAGTGTTTTGGTCAGCACTCCTACCTGCCTCTCAAAGCTGGTGTCCCTAGAAAAGGATGATTTCTGTGGACAGTAGCACAGTAGCTTTGGTGTGTGGTGTGATGTAACAGCTGAGACAAAAGTCCACTTGAATTTATCCTATCCACTGCTTATTTGTTACCCTTGTCCCACTCAAATTTCTTATGCAAATTTTCCTTGCACTTCTTTCTGAGGAAGTGAGGCAAGAGGAGAAGGAAAATCCTCATAATTCTTAAGAACTGTGCATACAATCCCTTGCCTAATTTGTAATGATCGTTGCTGGGACAACACTGGCAATTTGTAACACTGTGTGTCAAAGAACAGATTTTCTTTGATTTTTAGCCTTCTTGGGCAGTGCCAGAGAATCAGCTTCCCAAATCAAATGAGTTAACTTTTAAAGTGGGTTGGTCCCTTGTGTGGACACAGTCGTTTAACATGAAATGGGCTTTCCTTCAGATTGCCTTAACTCACTTCAAAAGAGATACATTGCTCTCTAGCCTCTGTATGTTCTGTAAATTTGCACCACTAGCTCGTTCAGATTTCTTGAATATGCATATATAGAGAAACCCACAGTACAGATTTGAAAACTCAGCCATAAAAGTATCTGTGATAACAGTTAAGAGTGCTTTGAGTGAGAAATACTGCTAGTATCTTAAATACCTCTGGAAACAGTTTTTCACGGTCTCCTGGCTGCTCCATATTTATGAAGAAGAGAGGTGAGAAAGTTTTTAGTGTGTCTGGCACCGGTCCAGCTTTAGCACAATGGGCTGTGGATTCAGTAAATTTTATTTCAAAGCCTTCCTCAGAGTATTGCAGGGGGATCTTGGTGTAAGAAGGGGAATGTTGCAGGAGATACTGGTGTGTGCCATAAGTGCTGCACTGACTGATCTCTGTTGCACAGGCCTTTACAGCTTAAACCTGCCAGAAAACTGAACTCTGGCTGATTTGAAGAGTTATTATTTTTGTCAGTGCTGCCTTGGTGTAAATGTTTAGGGATGATGAAGCCACATGGTTTTACCATCTCAAGTTAAATATCTATTGAAAGCTTGTGGTAGCAAGTCTGTAGCGTGGATTCACTGCGATGTTTTCAGAACAACACTTGTGCAAATCAAAAAAAAGAAAAAACCCAGTGGTGCAGCCACCTCAACTTCATTTAGACATGATCTAAATATGGTGCAAGCTCAAAACATTAGTGTGGGTAAGACCTAGCTGCTATTTTATTTGAAAAGTTCAACTTAGTGCTTTAATTTTAAGTATTGTATGGAAACTGGTGAATTCTCTCTCTCTCTGCTTATTGTTCTGCAAAAAACACATAGAAAGGAATAAAAATCTGTTCAGATGTTTTCATAAGATGACTCAATCACTGCAGCTTCCTTTTTGTTCTCGGACCAAACTACAAATGTAAAATAAAATGCCAGACTCCAAGGTAATCCAGGGTATTTGTTTTTTCAGTACAAATTTCAGTACTTCTTTCAGGGGTACAGGGCTTCATTCTCATAGTCCTGCTGGGAAAAGAGACACGGTGCAGAAAAAGCACAGACATTTGTGGTGTTGCTTTGTTCAGGATTTTGGTGGAATAGATTTGGTTTGGGTTTTCTTTTTTTTTTTTTT